GGGGGGGGGGGGGGGGGGGGGGGGGGGGGGGGGGGGGGGGGGGGGGGGGGGGGGGGGGGGGGGCGTTCTCACGTCACGTGGATCCCATAGGTAGTAGACCATTGACGAGATGACGAAGCGATGTTCCCACAGGACCTATCACCGATGGCCAATCATTTTTTCCTACTTGACCTTGGGGAGGGCAACAGGAGGGGGGGGGTCCCGACTGCACATGGGAACCCAACAGCATATTTATCACCCACATCAGTACTGTGTACAATTGTAGAGAGGATTCGGAACATCCCACCACCACTGTTGAGGAAAACCCGGGGATTGTCGGTCTGCGCCCTAGTTGTAGACCTCAGCGTTTGGTTTCCGTGGGAGATCTCTGGGGCACCTGGAGAGTACTGCACGCGCCCACACCACTTCAGAAACTGAGAGTTTCGATTTTCAGCCTCTTGAAATATTTGGCAATGTAATAACTTCAGCATTTCGCAATGCACGAACTTCAGCTTGAGAACGAAGGTGTTCAAGGAAGAGAAGCAAAGTACCCCCGTGTTGCGCCGCCTTCATTTCGCGCTTCTCAATCTGCCGCTGTCGTTTCCACTCACCTCGCCACGATCTACCCGACCTACCCACCAACTCGGGGGGACCCGCACACTGCAACAGGAAAAAGCGGAGCCGGTCTCGCGAGCGGCGGAGCAGCAGGCGCAGCCGCAGCCGCGAGCGCGATCGCCACGAAAGGAGGAGCCACCGCGATAGGGATAGGGACAGGTGCGCGCTCGCGCTCTCCTTTCGATGTATAGAACGCGCCCGCACTCGAGCAGCTCTACTAATAGTTTCGGCCGAGGCTCGGGGATCTTAGTTCTCATCACTGGCCCATGCTCGCTATATAGGTTTTAGTGTAGGCGTGCTTAGTTCCTATGTTAATAGTTTAGACCTAGGCTGGGATTGTTGTTAACCGTATGTCGAGGGTCATGCTGCGAGTGGTCGCTATGTAGTAGGGGTTCTTAACAGAGCTCATAAATGGTGCTCAAGTTATTACATTAGATTTTTTGTTTTTGTTTTTTGGCTCAAATATATGGACTTGCAAGTGCTTAGGTGCGGGCGCGTTCTGTAGTAGAGCTGATCATCGTGTAACACCGTACCATCGTGCTAGCTGTACTAGTAGTATGGTGGAGTCCGCGCTAGTAAACAGCAGGACTGGACAGAATTATGACGACAAGTTACAGCTAAATAAACGACGAGAGGGGGCCTGGGACCCCGGAGTGTTCACAAAGTGTTTAAATAGTAATGCGAAACCTAGAGAAACATGCGAGGTGAGTGCCTGTGGCAACGCAAATCGACCTCATCAAGTGTGAAGACTATTACGGACAGAAGAAGGTACTGGGCAGAGCGAACGGAACTACTGTTAATGTGAAGACAACAACAACAAACAACAACAGCAACAGCAAGTGTGTAAAACGGGAGAGAAACATGGGGAAGTGCTCTGTTGGCCTGTGATCATGGAAGGTTTCCGCGCCGTTAGGTCTTGGTTTCTCGTTTTGCGAGTATTTCCGGCTGAACTGTTCGCTTGGGTGTCGGCTCCCACATATGCCCTGCCGGGAACCAAGGGCTCAAAATGTATCAAACAAGCTAGATTGCATAAAACACCCCCCATGTGCTCTTCGAATACGCTGAATTGAGTAAAACACCCCCCTCGTGTGCTCCAAACAATCTGAATTGATAACAACACCCCCATGACGTTCGTTGTCGTCGTCTGTGACCAGGGATAGGAGCGGGAGGGACAGGGACAGCAAGAAGGAGAGGAAGGACAAGGACAAAGACAAAGACAGGTTCGTCATCGTCATTGGTCTAGCTGCCAGTGGTACCGCTCGGACTACCTTTTTTTTATTGATGTAACTACCTGTGCGGAGAGACCAAGTTTACATGTATGTACATAGGTTTTACATAGATTCACATAGATTTGTTGGAGAATATTTTGTATTCTAGCCGATGCTTGTCCGTGTCGTAGTACAGCAGTTAGCGCCCGCAATCCAAATGTCAATATCGAGTCTGGACCATTGCAGAACAGGCAGTGTGCTGGCATCCATGTAGAGAGGAAGGGTTACGTAGATCCTAACCATAGACCCGAAATTCCACCGATTCCATGCTTCATCCGGTACATTCATTTAGTACAAACCTCCGTGCTGTAGGCTGGTGCACCATCGGAAGAACGTAGGTTCGGGCTCTCAAACCTCGCCGCTGGACTTTTCAAACTATAAACATTGTCACGGAATCTGTGGGAAACAGCTCGGTGTACAGGATTGGATTATACTCATGAAATGCGGGCCGTAGTCGTTAGACCATAGACCTCGCATCCGTGCAATGTCGGGACGGAGCGATATGCCGGGTTTTCGCAGGCCCAGGCCACGTTTCACAATGATGCGGCTGCTCGTCATCCTTCCGTTTGTGTGCCAAACCAGACAAGGCTCGTTCTCTTTCCCTCTCCCCGTTCGCCGCTCTTGGAGCAAGAAAGCAAGAAAGAAACAACGCCTCATCTCTCGGGAAAGCAAGGCGTGCCTCTGGTGCCCCCCCCCCCCCCCCCTCCCCCCGTCGCCCCCAACACTGACCCCTATGTACGTCCCTTATTTTATTGTCCGCATGTTCGTGCTGTTTATTTTTTGCGTGCTGTCTGGGGGGCGCGCAGAAGTGAGCGCAAGCGGCGCCACTACACGGAAGCTCCGGCAAGCGAAGAAGGAACCAACGATAAGGACAAGGCCGCGAAGAGCGACGCCGAAGACAAGGAGGAGGAGAAGAAGGAAGAGGACGGGTCTTCCGCTAAGCCGCCGTCCCCCGGCGGAGGGGGCACCGCGGAAGAGGAGGACAACGGCGCCGGGGGGGGGGGAGAACAGAACAGTGCCGGAGAGGAGGCCAACGGCGGCGGCGGCATCGATCTAGTACCGGCCGCGGACAGCGACGGCGATGAAGATGACAAGGAGGAGGAAGGTGCTGGGGGTGGGGAGAGAGACGATGATGGTGATGGTGATGGTGGTGGCAGCACCGCGAACGGGGGTTCCGAGTCTCCGAAGGCAGAGGACGGGGATGCCTCCGCCGCCGCGGCGGGAGAGGGGGGCGACGACGAGTAGGGGGGGTACATAGCGTGTTGGTTTCTTAGGGACCCACGGGGCCCCCAGCGGGGATGCCTCCGGCGGGAGAAGGGGACGACGGGCCAAGCATGGGTGCTCAACGCCACGCGTGGTCTCTGTGGCAGGGGGGGAGGTCGCCTGTTTTTCGGCGTCGACGGGGGAGGCCGCTTTTCGTTGTATGGCGCGAAGGATGTGTGGAGCGATGCGTGGGCGATAAGTGTTCTGGTTGGTGGGTTGGTCGTTTCGGAGGGGGAATTGTGGTGAAAGCTGAGACTTAAGCTCTTCNGGGGGGGGGGGGGGGGGGGGTACTCAAGGTGAGGTGGAGCACGCGGTAGTCAAATGCCATTCGTAGCTGTCTCGGTGCGGTCTGCGCCGTGTGGTGTCGACCTACTCGGTGCTTACGGGAGGTAGCATGTACGGCAGGAAGGGTTAGTTCTGTTTTTGGGGGGGTGGGGCACTGGAGTACTACACCGCAGTAGTGTGGGGAGAGTATCGAGAGCATAGGGAACGGGGAGAGAGGTGGCGCACCTCTTGGCACACGTCGATGCAACGTAACACGCACAACTGTCTCTCCGGTGTAGGGAGAGCGCTATGTGCTCTTCTCTTACCGCCCGTAAGTTTCAGCCGTTTTACATATAGTTCTTGCCGTGCCTGGGCGTGGTCTCAAAATCAGCCCAATTGCTTTACAGCTAGGTACCGGACGTTGCGAGCATTTCGGGCGCTCTCTCGTTTTGATTTCGTCGGTGCTTCAGCTTGGCAATGTCTGCTGTTGTTGGAGGCGGAAATCGACGGGTGCAAAGTCGGTATAAACGTAGTGGGTAGATAGCTGATGTAAGAGGATCGGCGGAAGGAAGATTGCTTGTTTTTCATGTACTTTTTTTCTTCGAATGTTGTGACTCAGCACCGAGTACCGGTAGAATACAAACAAACGCACCGATAATTCCATGAATAGAAGCGTTGTTGATCGAGTATAAGTGCAAGAGGTGGCTGATGGTACGTACGGCAGGTACAAATATGCTGCACATCCCTGTATGCGTTCCATGGGAGATTTGCGGTGCATGTATGCCCTACTGTCGGAAGGACTCGCGGCCGTATGAGGGTCCATTTACTCCTCCTACACACATGTAGCCTTTCGCGTGGAGGATCGCCTACCATTAGCACACCATCAAGCAGGCAAGTTCCTTCTACAATGAATAGTGAATGGATCGCACCCTCGTGTGACGACGGTGGCAGGTGTTCTTTCGGGAATTATTTTTGGATTCGAAAACGGCGATTATATATTTTTAATGCTCAAAAGTGTTCTGCGAATAGAAGAAGCTCCATCAACAATTTGCGCTCGACGTGCGACTGATTTCACACATCTCTTCTCGATTTCGAGAATACTTTTTCAGCACTCCCCAGTAACTTGGTATATTCTGCCATAGTGTAAGCGAGTAGTGCGTTTTGTGGACAGCCAGATGAACGCGCTTTTTTTTGCGTATCCAACATACCCATTTATTTATTCTGCGACCCGGGCTATTTCTTTTGGCGAACATGTTCTTCAACACCGTCCGTGCCTGCCGTGATAGTCACTTGTTGTGTGTCCTGCACACCTTGCCCGAATAAAACAGGCCACGCAAGGCGGTTCCTCTGAACCTCCCTTTCTCAGACAAGTCAAAACCAAACCATCACCGACACAGGATCACGCGCAAACTCAGCAGCCTCTTGGACAAATTTTTTATGGGAGCGGAGAAACTTCGACAAGCTGCGAGAGGGCAACGCGAACAAAAACGGTTCGGCTAGATACGAAATATCTTATCTGCTTCTTTCCTAATGTTTGTTTCGTTTGGGTAGACAGAACGTCGCGAGCTCATCGCCCTTTCGCCGCCCTCACTAATCACTCCTCTCCCTCTCACACAGTTCTTACCAGCCACCAACCACTTCGGCAGAAGACCTACTGACTGCGTACACCAGAGCAACGCCGTTTTCAGCCCTTTTCCCTCGGTGGTTTATTCAGGTGAGAAGAGTGTTCGATAGGTTTCATTTGGAAAAACAAACAAGTTGCCGCTGATGATACTACATACATTTCCGAGTCGACGCATCATCATCCATCATCCACAGATGAGCATCCGTGTCCAACAGCAGCAGTGCATCGATACGCCTGAACGGGTATCCGCGCTAACACGACCCCTACCCCTCTTGCTTATTGGTCTCCCTTTCTCTCCGATCTATCTACATTTACCAGACACACCCGAAACAGCTCTTTGCGTAAATAATCACACGAACGGGCGGCATCATCATGATGTTCCTGGGACGTGCATCTTCGAGAGCTCTGGCGCGCAGCGCCTCCGCCGCCAGCCGCCGTCCACGCACAGCCCTCCCGAGACCGTTGTTGAGCGTCCAGCAGCTTCCGCGCTCTACTGCGGCGGCCGTCGCCAGCGCTCGTGAAGATTACTCGAGCGGCGAAGTTAGCAGCGGCAGCTGCATGTGGGCCGCTGCTGCGGCCGTCTCTGCTTTGGGCCTCGCTTCAACGTCCGACCAGCAGGTGAGATGCACACCGCCGCCACCCGCCACGGCGCACACACTCGGCTGTGTTAAGAGGCGGCGGAGAGAACACCAAGTCCCCTCGCCCTGCTGTCATCGCGCGTTTGTGTTCCGAGGGATTTTAATTATTGCTCGTCCGGGCAATTTCTTTTAAGCAAGGGGAGCCATGACTACATATAGCCTCGGTGGTGTAGTTGGTAGCCTTGGAGCCTGCTAAGGGCCAGGTCATGGGTTCGCCTCCCGACAGCGCGATTTTTTTCTCGGTAGTTTCTATTGGAAGCGACGCGCAAACTTGTGAGTCGCGAGGGAAGGGATTGCTGTACCCTTCTCGCGATGAAAATGTATCAGGCAGGAACCCCAGGAGCGGGGTTCCAACCCTCCCCCTCCTACTCCCCCTCCTATGTGACCCCGGTTGGGTCGTCTAGCCGGTAGAAGTGGAAGATTGGGCTCAGTGGGGCAGATGACAAGCGTCCAATGATAGGAGAAAAATAAGAAAAAGTAGACAAGTAGACTAGACTAGATGTTTTGACGGATTGGCTGGCTGCCTGCCTCATCATGGGTTGGATTCGATCAGCACTGCTGCTGCTGGAATGGACAACAGACCGACCATTACCGGCCGTTGCGCACCCCCCTTCTGCTACGTTACTCCGCGCCAAGACTCTACCTGTGCATTTTTCCGTTGATCAATATACTATCCGCCCGGTGTGCGTGTCGTTTCACACACACACACGCCCTAGACCCAGCCATCAGCCATCAGACAACATTCATTGTTTTGTTGAGAACAGAAGATCGAAAGCACGTGTGCGTGTGTCAGCCCTCGGAACATGTCGACATCTAGACTATGAATTCTGAAGATCGGCAAGAGAGGCGTCGCACTTCGGCAGCAGCGTCGTAGCGCATCGCATCGCAGCCCGCTTGTTGTGTTGCTGGGAAAATTTCCGGCGGGCAGGATCGGGGGCACCTGTAGGAAGGCGGCCGATCTTATACGTCAATAATACGTGGTCAACATCCCTTACGGCAGCCGACCAGCAGCAGCTGTCGTGAGCGTACATGCATTTTGTTAATAGTATTGAGGTTGTGGCAAGATTGAATGCGCTCCGGCCGGTCACCCCTGCAGCGGAGAAAAGGCTCGACGGGCGGCGCACATATACATGATTTGTTTGGGTGTCTTGTTGATTGCAATGGGATACTGCTGTGTAGGGGTCATCGCATTGATGCTGTGCAATCCGCTGGACGGACTTCCTGGCCCTGTTCCAAGGTTGAGATGTAACATCTCGGAATATATGAAGGTTTTTTGAAAGTTTCAAAGTTGCCGGAAAAATCTGCACATTCTGGTCTGCCACACCGTCTGCGGTCTTCAGTTATACACACGACCCTGTTCGGGGTGTCGTAGGTGATTGCCGCTCTTAACCCAGAGGAGAAATTGTCGAGGAAAATGCTTTCCCTCTTTTGCCTTATTGTGCACCCCGCGCAATCAGGCGCTGTGGCGTTCTTTTTCTCTCATGTACAGAACGATTGCTTGAGACAGAAATAACATTTTCAGAATTTCGACGCGTCACCGCGGGCAAACCACGTCATTCTAAAGGCACTAGATCTATAAAGTCTACAGCAGTAAGTAGTAGAGTTACCAGGCAGTGCATGTTTCTACCGTACGCATGCATAGGCTGTATAATAAGACATCCATCTACTGGGCCGATTTCAGAGCTTGACTACTAGATGATTACAGTACTCTGCAAGGAAATAGGTGATGGTGCCGAAAATGTCGGAGTTGGAACCGTCCCGTCGAGAGCTTTCCGAACACACACGCATCGTTTGCCTTTTCGGTATCCTCTTGGTCATGGAGTAATCGAGCTTTGAAAATCGATCCAGGGGGTGGGTGTGGTATCCTACGCATGTGCATACTCCATCTGTTGAAGCAGAAAACGGACCAACACCTGTTGAGGCTGTAATAGCATTGACACTCACACAAAGTACTTCGATCATGTGAGGTCTGTCAGGTGTTGTTCTTCCACATCAATCTACATCTGTTTGTAGTACACTTGTTTTTCACGTTACAATATACCGAAGGTATTCAAAGGAAACCTTGCCATCATCGGGTTTTGCACGGATGAATTCTACCGAGACGCTCTCGCCAGCCATTTCAACCACTCGGATCCGTATGGTCTTACCCTTTCCCTTCCCTTCCTTCCTTCATGAATCCACGACACAAACTATACGACGACCGACGCGTCAGCAGGCCGAATGCTGCGGTATCATAGGGGTGGTGAGCACCGAGCACGCCACTGGCAATGACCCGGCCAGCGACGCGAGGGCGCTCCTCCTAGAGGTGAGAGGCTGCGGTCCTTCTCTCTGTTTTCCTTTTTGTCAACGAAACGTTTCAGTCGTGTTGTGCCAGGAAAGTAAGTCGAGGCTCCAAGTAGACGCCCTGGGTGCACCTCGGCACTACATGCTGCGGTGCCCCGTTGGTCTTGCCGCCGATGCTCACTGACTTGGAGTGTTTTCCTTCTCGAAAGTTGATGACGATGTAACATCGCTGGCTTTTTCATTTCCGTTCGTTGGCGGTGGCATGGTGGCATGTGGCGTGTGGCATGATTGCTGCTGCGTACCGTGCGGATAGGGGCTGGCTGTTCTACGCAACCGCGGGTACGACTCCGCCGGCATGGCCACCTCGTCGCCGGATGGCCTCATGATCTCCAAGTACGCCTCGAGGGGTGAGTGACGGGCGGCAATCAATAGTTGACGTGTCTTTTGTGGATGGGCGATACGACGAATCAGCCTTTACTTCCCGCGGTACATCGGTATACCTATCCGCAGGGCTATCACGAAACCCTTCTTGAATGAATCTCTGCTTTGTTTTGGTGACCTCCACCTCCCCCCCCCCCACACACACCATTGAGGCCTGCTACCACCTACCACCTCGAAGCTAAGCACGTTTCACGTGTCTGTCTCACGATCTCAGACAACACTGCTGTGTTACCAATTGATGATGATTGGACCGTGGGTTCGTCGGGCCTATGCCACACCATCACGATCACAGCCCAACCAACCGCATTTGTATGTATGCATACACGCATACACGGCCAGGTTGGGGCAGAGGCTCTTTTGTGTTGTTTTGTTCACGTTTGCGTTCCTCGAATACCCCCTCCTTGGCTTCATTCGTCTGCCCTCCCTTAACCCAACACGCTGCTCCCGCGTTTCTCCATCATCTGCCGTGATGCTGCCTGCCATTGACACCCCCCCCCCCC